CACACACACACACACACACACACACACACACACACACACACACACACACACACACATATATATGTATATATGGTTGGAAAAAAAATTTTACAGTTATATATATATAATAACTATAAATAACTCAACTATATATATTAATTCTACATATGAAGCTTGTATATAGTTGTCATGAATACACATATAACTGCTATTTCTATGTTCTTTTCTCTGAATGTTATACTGAGAGGAAAAAATATGGCTGCAATAATGTATTGTATAATATATTGCGATTATAATTTAACTATAATTTATAATCATCATTTTGGTGCCATCTATATGTATGTATATTTTTTGATGAAATTATAAACCTAATTATTACTATTGACGTTATAGCAGTAATAACTGTAAAAATTCTAATCAAATTTAATTTTACCATGCAATTACTTATAATCACAAATACCAATACTTTTCTTTCAGCGTAGTAGAAGAATCGAGATAAGTTATAAAAAAAAATATTACATAACGAGAATGCTGATATAAAAATCAACGAAGAATACATATGGAACAGAGGAAGACGATATTAAGGTATAGAAAGGATACACTTTTTACAGACAATGCAAACCAAAATTACGTTACTCTGTGCGTCGCCCGCATAAAATGAATCGCATAATAGTAAGTGGCTGTACAGATTTGCGAGTTATTAATCGAAATTCTAATTTTCCCTCGATATATTCTAAAGCGACATCTCTGAATAAAAATTGTACTGACATCTCAACATCCATTTTTTCCTACTTTCGTAAATCCGCAGGAGAATTCAGTGAAAAAGTTACGTCAATATTAATTCCAATTTAAGAAATTTTTTACGTTATTCCCCAAACCGATTGTTTTAGATTTTGTGCCTTCAACCTTGCCAGGTGTCAAAATGGCACCTGGATATTAAAGATTCTAGATCTGTTATTATTCTCTCACGTTGTTTCCCGTAACTATTTTTGTTTTATGGAGGATTATGCTTAGGAATAGAATCTAATTGTTATGATTCTAAATCCGTGCTGAATTGTATTAAAAATCATGTTTTAAAAAAAGTGGACTCAGGGGTGGCAGCTTTCGCGAGGGACTCGTGAG